GGGCAGCCCCCGCCACTCACGGCCAGTGGCAGGCATACCTTGGCCAGTGTGTGAGGAGTCACCTGAGGGGCCAGGAGCCCATCTCTGGGAACTCTGGTGGCAGTGACAGCGTGGGAACATCCCTCACAGGAAGGCTGAGGGGCCAGGGCCCAGTGGGCAAGTGAGACAAAGCCATGGGGTAGGAGGATGGTATGGCCTTGGAGCTGGAGATTGGGCCACATGGCAGCGAACCCATCCCGTGGAGCCAGTCCTGAGGTCACAATTCCAGCAGCAGCAGCATTCTTTCCATCAGGTCCACAGTCATATTCCTCCTCCTTCACTGTCATAGAGGAAAGATAAGAAACAGCACTTCCCCGGAGCAGATGCCTCACAGCCCAAGACCGGGAGCCTTGAATAGTTGGTCACAAAACCGCTGAACAAGTGGGCCGCAATAGCCCACATGCCAAGAGAAAACCCATGGCTGAGCCACCAGCAGTCCTGCCTGGCACAGGAATCAGGGCCATAGGAGCAGGCGTTTTAGATAGGCCAGGGTGGTGGCATTGGCCAGCATCTCGAGGTGCTCACTGCCAGGCAACTCCTGCAACAGCACTTGGTGCTCCTGGCGGCTGCGCCAGGCCTGGCATTGCAGGGCGCTCTGCAGGTTCACAGTGCCATCGCCATCACCAAAGCAGATTTTAGGGTCCCGGTCAGGGAAGTTCTCATAGTAGAAAGAGTCTGGTGTGGGGACACCAGTACCATAGAGGCAGTGCAGTGGCACGCCAGGTGGCATCGTGGCTTCCACCAGCCCCTCTGTGTCCTGCCGCATGAGCCAGCCATCTTCAAAGCCAATGTCCTGGAAGAATTGGCGATAGTCACGCAGAGTGTAGTTGATGGTGGGTGTGTGCACGAACACCTTCTCAGGTGACCAGGTATAGTTGTAGGGGAGCAGCCAACTGGTGGAGACAGCAGACCGCTGCTGCTCCCGGATCTTCAGGGGTCCAATGACCGGGATCCGGTTGTTGTCTCCTGCAGGGAGAAGACTTCAGTCAGTCTGTGCCTGGGAATGCAAGCTGGGTGGGCAGCCCTACACCCCAGCCGGTGGCTCAGTCAACAATCTCACATCTCCGCACTGTTACAGGCATCATAACGCCCATTCCGGCATCGGCTTTATTTCCCCTTGTCTTCTCTCTATCTGAAAAGGATGCACCTAGGACTTGTTTCATTCTCTTGTGCTTCCTCACCAGGCAGAACACACCCATAGGGTAATTTATTGTTTCCTCATCTGTAAATGGAACCCTCCCCCAAGTGCTTCTTACCAGGCCTGTGGGCACTGCCCTTATCTAAGGTGAATCAGTAACTGGGAACAGAGACACCTTCCTCTTTCTTTCATGACACTGAACTGTGGACACGATTTTCTTTGCCTAGACTCAGTCCATCATTCAGCCAGCCCTTGTCTCACCCACCCACCTGCCTGTGCACTGAGCTGGGCAGCCAAGCCTCCTAGAGACAAGGCAGGAGGGAGTCCACAGGTAAAGCCTGAGTCCTTCGCACACAAGAATGCAGACAACAAACACACCCACTAACCAGTAAGGCCTCAGCAGGGAGTGGGGAGGGGGCCTGAAAGCTGGGCAGGGCTTCTGACTCATCGCCCACCAAGTATCTCAGGAGGGAGGTCTCTGTGGTTGACTACAGAGCCTCAGTTTTGCCTCTGGGGCCTGGCTCTAGGACTCCTGAGGACAGGGAAGCTCTTGGGGTCCATGGACTTCCAGGTCCCCACATCTCAGTGCCAACTCAGCTAGGCCTGATAAACAGTTTCCAGCATCTGCAGCAAAGGTCTAAGGGGACTCATGGGGAAGCTCTGAAAGGGGCTGGAGCCTCAACTCCACCATGGCTCCTTTTTCAAACTCAGGGGTGCCCATGGGCCCAGGGTGTCCTGCCAGTCCAGGCTGGACAGAATAGGTGGCTGTGATGAGTCCTCACTATATCCGAAGATTGAGCTATGGCTCACTGTCTTACTAATTTGGGGTCACTATCAGAAGCATTGGGCCTGACCTGGTCACAATGTCAGTTGACCACATAGGCTAGGCAGTGCCAGTGACTTGAGGAAGAAAGTTCATGAGATGCGTAGCTTGGCCCTGGCTCATAGCTCCCAAAGTAAGGAGCCAGGTCTTAGCAGAAGGAGCAAAGCTTCCTCCCAGGGCAAGGAAGCTTCACCATACAGCTGCAGCTGGCTCATGACAGTCATGAAAAGGCAAGTGGACTGGGGAGGAACCAGGAAGGGACTGGCTTTGCCAACTGCCAGGCAAGCAGGCCTAACCAGATCTGCACCTGCTTCCTCCCTGCACTGTCCATAAAGGCTTCCCACTGTGCACAGATGGAGGTACGGCTCATAATCAGGAACCTGCATCCCGTCTGCCCTCTCTGGGCAAAGAAGGGAGGATGGTCTTAAAAGGGAAAGATAAGGTACTCTCAGAGAACTTTGGGACAAACCAAATTAGGCCAATTAGGTCTAAGTACTCTGTGTGTGCACATGTGCGCATACACGCGTTTGCACACACACCAGCAAGTACCTGTGAGACCAATAGTTACACCACTCCAGGTACATACCGTGAAAAACACACAGATTACAAAGGCTATCAAGTGCAGAGGTGGAATTATTGGGTCATTGGAAAACTCATGATGTATTTTTCTATGTTTTCCTATACAAAAATGCATCATGACTTTTCTGACAACCCAATAGTAGTGTTAGATTTTTCTTTTGGAATACTTTTTGGGAAAAAAATATATTTGAAAAAGAATGCTACTCTGAAGAAAGAAAGAAGCTGACCTAGGAGGAGAAGTGAAGGATACTGGCCCAGCAGGACACTGTAGAAGGAAAGAGAGGGTAACAGCCCTGGAGCCAGCACCCATGTGGGCCAGGTAGGGTCTTACCTGAGGCCAGGACGCGCAGGGTCTTGGCCACGCCCCCCCAGGGCGCGCCCAGTGACAAGAAGGCCCGGATATACTTGTCCTTCCAGGCCTGTGGCTGCCGCTGCAGAAAGTAGAGCGTGTACATGTTGCCCATGCTGTGGGCAACCAGCACCACAGGGCCCCCATACAGCTGGTACATCTCCTCGATCATCTCGCGGAGGGCCAGGAAGTAGGGCCCGTTTTCATCTGCAGGCCAGAGCCAGGCAGGAGTCAGGCACGAGGAGTCCTGAGGACGAACCACTGACCATGTCTCAGGTCAAACACATGACTAAGGGGCTGGGAAGAGTGCTAAAACCCAAGTGGGAGCTGTCTGGTTTCCGCCCAGCCTCCATGCAGGGAGGAAACAAAGGAGTTCCTTTCTCCACTCAGCTTTTTTACCTCTCCCCAGGCCTAGAGGCCCAAAGTGGAAGTCTTGGCGTGTGGGATGGGGAAGGACAGAATTAGATTGACCAGTGGTGGTGGCTGTGCCCTCTGGGCTAGATGCCAGGGGGCCGGGGGAAGGGGAAAGCCCAGGGCCGGGGAGAACTGAAGCCCTATGGTGGGTGACTGCCTCATCCCTAGCTCCTAAAACAAGGGTGACTGCTTACTTGGGGCTCGACGCCAGTCATAAGGGGCCCCTCGGACGTCCTCACCCCGTGTGTAACCCCAGCTCACAAGGCTCTCCACCATGGTGTGGAAATAGGAACCTGTAGACAGAAATTCATAGGATTAGAGAAGACACAGCCAGTGCCAGCCACCCACACTGTACCCGCCACAGAGACTGTGACATCTACTGCAGAGAGGTCCCTGGAGGAATGCTACCAGGTTCTGTGCCCATACCGATGAGAGACAGCTCTCAGGCTACGCCTTCAAACCAGCAGTTCTTCCAACCTGAGGAGGCCAACACAGCCCCCAGACTCATCTGCTAGAGACCCCAAGTGAGGACTACATACCCACACTACTTTTGCTGGGGTCTAGGAACTCCACTGAGAAGGTCTTCCCAAAGCCAGGGACACGTACATCCACACCATCAGGAAACTGGGTGGTCCTGGACGTGCTATTGTAAACCAGCCTGTCAGGAAAGGATATTGAGCCAGTGACCGAGAGGTGACACAGACTACCGTGTTCTAATACTGCCTCATGTCCCAAGCCATAAGCCTTTCCCATCCCCAGTTATGGTCAGATGTAAAAAGGAGACCAAAATACAACAAAACAGGTTGGAGTAACTACATCTAAATGAGGACTCCCACCAAGGCTCGCTCCAAAGGCCCCAGGAGTTGTCAAGGCAACATTTCTTTCTCCCCAGTGTTGCCTACCCCAGAATGAGGATCTCAGACCTGGCTGGGAGAAGGAATCACCAGTCCGAGCTTGCACGAGAACTTCACACTTGACCCCAAGAGGCAGCCTACCCTTGCAGGTTTCCATAGCTTCTCTCTTCTGCCACCCACCATAGTACATCACAGAGCAGAGAGATGGAGAGCACAGCACACAACAAAACCAGAGAGGGATCCACCACAGGGTCTGAGCACCTGTGTCTGCTCTGTGGGCAGATAGGAGGGTGGGCGAGGCCCAGAGAAATGATGGGGTGGACAGGGAGAGACAGGAGATAGGCTTTGTGCAGGCCCTAGGTACAGCTGGGTCTGGAGACTGCCCCTAGCAGCAAGCCTCTCCCAGTCACACCAGCCCTGGAGCAAGAGAATGGAGCATCCACCCCCACCTCCTGCCCCAACTCCCCACTCCCTCCTCACCCAACACCCCAGCCTGCTTGGTATCCTGCGGTCATTTCACCTGCAAGGCTACATAATGCCTAAGGCTTGGCCAGCAGATTCCTTTTGTAAAATAAATAAATAAATAAATAAGTGTCTATGGAACCGGCAGGTGGCATGGTGGTTAAGAGCGCTGGACTCCCACATGGCCAACCACAGTTCAAGTCCCAGACCTGGTGGCTTGCTTTCTCACTTTCCTTCTCTCTCTCCCTCTGTCCCTCTCTGGTGAAATTAAAATAAATAAATAAATAAAGTTAAATAAAATAATTCTTTTTTAAAATAAGTGTTCTTTGGGACCAGCAATTAGCGTAATGGCTATGTCGCTGGACTCCCACATAGTCGACCGCGGTTCACGTCCCGGACCCGATAGCTTAAAACTCACCCTCGGCACATGTGCGTGTGCACCAAAGATCCTGAGAGGAGAATGGGGGAGAAGGGATTGCGGCGTAACCATCCCCCCTGGGGGGTGATTTCTCGCTTTCTGTCTCTCTCTGTCTGGCGAGTGCATGCACTCTATAGCAAAAACCTCTAAAAAAAAAAAGTGTTCTTTTTCTTTAATTGCTGAAGGTCATGTACACTTGCCAAAGAGAGTCAGAGAAAGAGCCCAGCACAGCAACACTTCTATGGGATGCGATCATGCTCTAATCCTTTTTCCGCTACTTCTCCATTACGATTTCGGGCATGCACGTTCACGTACCTGCATGTTTTTTCGAGTCACGTGGCCGGGATTCAAACCCCATCAGTCATGTGGGATCCAGCTCCCTTTGCACAATTTTAACTGATTCACTATAGGACCTTTGGCCAGTGAAATCCTAAGAGCCAGGACCACCAGCTACTTGGAATCCCTAACAGCCCTTTATCAGTTTCTGCTGCTGTCTAACAAGTTACAGTACACTTAGCTTCTAACCACGCACATATCATCTCGTGGTTTCTGTAGCTGCAATACAAAACAGAGTCAGCCAAGGACGTCCCCACCTCAGGACTGCGTACATGGCTTCTGTAATGCCCTTCTCTGGTAGGGGATCGGCAGGGCCTAGAGAAATGACATGATGGAGATGGGGTGGAGGAAGTCAGGAGAAAAGTCTTGTGTCAGCCCAGGAACTCTGCTCTTGCCTTGCCTCACACCAAAGAGGCAAACACATAATCAAGAAAACACAAGAGCCTGAAGTTCCTGCTGGTCCTGAGTCCCACCCATCACTTTTTAAAATTTATTTATTTACTTCTTACATGAGAGAGAGAGAGAGAAATAGACAGGCCCCCAACAGGGTCTTCACACCATGATCTTAGCCAGCCTGACGTGCTCAGCTCTGTGCACACCTGCTGTGTTCAAGAAGTTTCTGGGACACAGTTGTGGGCTCTTTCCCATGTGGGTTCAGCTGTGTTACTACTCCACCACCACCCCCTTAAAGATCAACCACAAAAGACCAGCAAATGGCATGGTGGTTTAAGCAGCTGAAACCCACATAGTCGATTCTGCGGTTCAAGTCATGGATCTGGTGGCTTGAAAAACACGTAAGGCATGTGTGCATGCATGCCCAAAATCCTGAGGAGGAAGGGATTGCAGTGTGGTCATCCCCCCCAGGGGGAGATACTTTCTCATTTTCCCTCTCTCTTTCTGTCTCTTTCCAGCAAGCATATGTGACCTATAGCAAATTTTAAAAATAAATTAGTGAAAAAAAATTTTTTTTCAGCCACTGAGAGCTGACACCATTCTCACAGTTGCCCCACGTAACAGGTCCTGAGGGCCTACTCTCTTTAGGGCAATGTGTAGATTACTGCAATGGCCAGCAAAGTGCAGAAAATTATTTTAGAAAGCCAAAGCAGTCTGTGCGTGATGAAAGTCTAAACAGGTCAGAGTCAGGGGACCAACGAAGGCAGGCAAGCCCCTCCTGATATCAGCCTCACCTCCGATTGGCAGTATCTGAGGCCGTGTCTCCCGTACAAAAATAGAAACGCAGATCAACCACCCAGAAATAACCCCGATCATGAACAGAGGAGAAACAGTCAACAAAGTAGGCATCATCAACAACAGGAAGGGCAGGGGCCTGGAGAGGCAGTTAACAAGTCTCTGGAAAATTTTAAAACTGTGAGACTCCATTCAACTCTCTTTTTTAAAGGCCATGATGGGAGGAATGCCATACTGCAATCTCTTCTCCTTCATTTCTCTTGAGACTTTAGACACACACGCACGTGCACCCAGCCTAATTTTCAAATCTTTCAGTCTGGAATTCGAACCGCAGTTGGTCATGTGGGATCCAGCTGCCTTAACCTCCATGGCATCTTCTAGCCAACTCATTTATTTTACTCTTATTTATTT